CCTTTTTTTTTTTTTTTTTTTTTTTTTTTGAAAAATTTAGCACTGTAACTGTAATTATTTCATTTTTCTTTATTTAAAGAGGATAATAAATTCGTCATTTTACAATATTTTAATGTAGAAAATGATTGTATGATTGCTTGATCTAAGGAGGTACTGCATCAAGATGTAAGAATATGTCTTTTTTTTTTTGTGAAAAACATGTAAATGATAGGGTTATCTTGTTACAGTTACCCTTAATTCTATTGAAACAACAAACACAACACACAAAGCCTAAATTTTTCGTTGTACAACATGGTTATATATCTCTACAATCATGGTAATTCAACGATATTTCAGCAGTAACCAAACTTTAAAATTGTTGTAAATAATTACTTATCTTCATCATGATTTTTCACGTGTCAATTATCTCATTCGATTTGAAAATAAACGATTTGGACAACATGGCAAAATTGTGATACAAATACAATGACAATTTATTTTTTAAAATTTCAATAACTATTGAAGAACATTTCTAAAGTATAGCGCCTATTTTGAAAAGTATTTGAAAAACAAAGTGAAAAAGTGGTGTGGCTGTTAAATTTTTTTAACTCCTATGCAAACTGAATGATGGCATTGAAGAGTAAAGCTATTTGAAGAAGGAAAATTATCAAAAAGCTCTACATGTATTGATGGGACAAATTTTATGTGTAACGTTCAATAAAATTCTGTCACTTGACATTCTGTAAATTTGTCAGGCATTTTTCCCTATATATGTAGCATCTCCAGGCGTCAAAACCTCAAGAACCCATTCTAAAAAGGATTTTGCTGGTTGTACAGAAGAAAAAAGTCAGAAGAAGTGACCGAAATGATGTGAAACCAAAAGATTGGATAAAAAAGATAACTATATTTGAAATTGATAAATAATAGAATGTCATTACATAAGACATTATGTAAGAAAATGGCTTTGCTCTCTATTGTCAATAGTTCAAAAAGAAGAACGTCTATTTCCCTAAAGAGTTTTACTACAAGTACAAAAATATTTCATATAATTTTTCACAGATACACATGACAACAAATCATTGAAAAAAAAAAAAAAAAGGAAAGGAGGGAAGATCAGGTGCTGCCTGTAAGGATTTTGTGGTTACCCTGGACTTGGGGATTCATTCTTCCCTAAAGTCCTCTACTTCTTCTGGATTGCTTTTTCACTGCTCCTTTATCCCCTGTTTCCTCTCTCTCTCTCTCTCTCTCTCTTCGACCTCTTCTTTCTCAGGTTATTAACTTTCTATTCTCATTTTTCTTACACCATTGGTTTTAGTCAATGTACTGTATGGTGTGGATGTTAGGTTTTATTTTGATGTCATTCAGTGATTCTGGTTTATGGATTTGTACGCTTTTGTGTTTCCATACATGCAAAATATGGAGAATTCTTTGTTTCTTTGTTGTACATTTGGATGCCAAAATATAGGTATTGTTTCAAGTGTTCTTCACATTTAATGTTAATAGTTGGTTCTTGAATTTTAGTGACTCTATTATTTTCTTCAATTTTATGAAATTGCAATCCATTATATTGGGAACTGACACCAATTCCTTAATTCGGAGATTTATGCTAGTTCTAAGTCCATCTCCAACCATTAGCACACTTTTGCAAAGATTTCGAACCATTACACCAAATGAACCAAATGAACAGTATTTTCTTTCATTTCTTATTCTTAAATTGTCAAGAAATAATTATTTCAGAAATTATTTAATTATAAATTATATTACTGCTAAAATTATTAGATTAAAAATTATAGTTAAATGTTGAATTTATTAATAGATTAAAAAAAATACACTTAATACCACAATTTAAAAAAAAAAATTAAAATTTACTATAATAAAAATAGTAATCAAATTAAAATAAATATAAATACAAATAAAGTTATACCATTGGAATATATGGAATAATAAAAATATGTAAAAAGGATATAATAAAAATTAAAATAAATAGGAAAAACTCTAAAAATCACACCAAATGAATAGTATTAGACACATTTTGGTGCAACGCTATTCATTGCACCAAATTATACTTAGCTGAGTTTCAATATGTTTTCGATCTCGGATTGTTTTTGCTTCTCATTTATAATTCCCCATAAATGGTCAACATGTTCAAGTATTTAAGATCTTCTCTACAAATTCTTGAGGTCTCATTTGTTCAATAAGTAAAATTCCAGTATGGTTTGATTTACATGAAAGAGTTCAATGCATGCAGGACTTGCATCGATGGTTCATGCATTTGTATATTCTATTATATGAAATTTGGAAATATCGAGAGATCTTCCGGGAACTCAGATGAGAGCCAGATTCGGCAGTTACCATTATTTAGCAATTGGATAAGAAAGTTCCATGGCAATGCCACAAAGACCTTCCTTATTATCAATCTTGTTTTCCATTCTGATATATCCCTCCTCACCCCAGTTTGTGCCCCACGAATTCTTCACTAACCAATACTTTGTACCATCTTCACTTGTAGAACTGGAATGCTGATACACTGGCATCAATAGCCGCAGATACCAGTTGATTAGCCACAGCCTTCAATAAGGCAGATTCGCTATTAACCTGAACATCTTCATAGCTTGTGATCTTAGCTGTATGTGAGGCTTCCTTTTGTTTGTTACACGTGCCATCGACTCCTTGATAGGGGTAATTAGATTCCGTGGTGAGGCCATGGTTGACTATTATGAATTGAAATGCATCATCCATGAGACCACCATCACATCCCTCGTTGTCCTTCGTATCACAATCCACAAGTTCTTGTTCGAATAATGAAATTAATTTATCTGTTTTCAGCTGATGGATTCCTTCTACAGCTGCTACTGCTGAAAATGCCCAGCAAGATCCTGTAATTTTTGGTTTTTCAGTTTTATGAATTTTTTTCTAGTATGTCTTATTTGCCAAGTATAATCTTTTGCCTTCCACATTTGCCCTGATCTTTTATTCTAGTGACAGCTCCTTTCGATTTCGCTTGAGGGCAACGTGGTTACATTTTCATATTTGAAGGATGTTGCTTTGGATGAGTTTTTATGGGACGACCTCTTGTATCCATTACGAGAGGCCTGAAACTCTTCATTTCTCATGTCAGCAAATTCGTTGATGCCTAGCTTGTATGGTCGAGTTCCTGCACTGTTGAAAGACTCGATGAATTCTCCATTCTCTTTGAATATATTGAATCTCATTACCTTCTCGTCATTTTCTTTGTACACACGCCCATATTTCGCCATCCAGTGCTCGTATCTCTCGGCAATGGATGCTACATGAATCATGAAGGCTGCTCGAAGTTGCCTGACAAGAATATATCCCAGAGACTAGCAAAAGAGCAAGAATAATTTTCTGATCAAATTGCAAATCTATATGTATGTATTCCACTTTGTATGGCACTTTGAAAATGATATATTTTTGCAAGAACAAGGTATATGTGGGGGACAAATTTCGTCTTCAGCTATTTTTTGCAAAATGCACCCATTGCCACTATGACGTGAATCACTTTTTGAGGATTTGACAAGGAATTTCCAAGCATAAAGGGCCCGGCAAGTTATGTATGAATAGAAACAATTCCAGTTACGTGGACGTTGCTACTGTAATTGGTTTTCTGTTTTGTTAACAATACAGGCATTTCACATGTTTGTAGTGTTTTAACTTTCAGTTCCATCATATATTGATCACTAGCGTGTGTAGGCCAATTTCATTTATTCCTTGTTTCTATCATTTCATGTGTGCAGGGCATCTAATTCAAATTGTAAGTTAAACAGAAAATTAGAAGAACCTAAACAAGGATCATTCACCGGATTTGGGTCATTTGGAGCACAATGAAATTCAATACTCAACTGCTTGCGCTACTCAACTGCTTGTGCTGGCATTCAGAATGCTGTCTAGCAACATAGTTTTAATGGAGATCACACGATGTGGCCGATTGAATATCCCTGAATCGGAGTTTCTTGAAAGCACATTTTTATGTACATGTAGGATTTAACTTTTGACTGAGATACTTGATGTGATTATGCCAATCACTAGCAACGATAGCCTATATTGACTATCGATTTTGTATTTAATTGACAGTAAAATTTGTATTTACGAAGCATGATTAGGTATTTTTACAACCTTCAATACACAAGGAGAAACGACGAAATCTTGATGTTTTAGGCAGTTGGATATGAAGCTTGCATGGCTATGCCGCAAAGGCCTTCCTCAGCATCAATGTCCCTCTGCATTCTAATGTATCCATTCTCACCCCAGCTTGTTCCCCATGAATTCTTAACTAACCAATACTTGGTACCATCACTGGCTGTTCCATAACCTACTGCTGTAACGCCGTGGTCTAGATCAGTCCCGCATTCTCCAGTGAAGACTCCACTGGAGTAGAACTGGAAGTCGGATCCACTAGCATCAATGGCAACAGATACGGGTTGCTTGGCCACAGATTTAAGCAATGCTGACTCGCTATTGGCTGGAACATCCTCGTATCCTGTAATTTTTGCAGCATTGGAGGATTCCTTCTTGCTGTTGCATGTCCCATCTGTTCCGGCATATGGGTAATTAGATTCAGTTGTAAGTCCATGATTGTTGATGATGAATTTGAACGCATTGTCCATTAGACCTCCGTTGCAGCCCATATCTTGACTCGTGTCACAATCCACGAGTTCTTGTTCGGATAATGAAATCAATTTCGCTGTAGAAAGTTGGTTGATGCCTTCTGTGGCTGCAACAGCTGAGAATGCCCAGCAGCATCCTATAATTTTTGTACAAATAGTACGATAAAGACATCAATTTTGTTTCTAGAAGTAATAAAATATATAACCAAGAATAGAGTTAAAATAATCAATGGTTAACCTACCACATTGGCCTTGGTCCTTAACACCAGTAACAGCTCCCTTCTTTCTCCAGTCCATGCTCGATGGAACTGCAGTCACATTTTCATACCTAAATGACGACGCCTTAAGTGACTTTTGGTAAGAGGACACTTTGTACCCATTACGAGATGCCTGGAACTCCTTGTTCGTCAAATCAGCAAATTGATTGATGCCAAGCTTGTAAGATCGAGTTTCTGCTTTGTTAAAAGTCTCGATGTACTCCACATTCTCCTTGAATATTTTGTATCGCATTGCCTTCTCCGCACTATCCTTGTATAAGCGTCCATATTGTGCCATCCATTGCTCGTGTTTTTCAACCATGGATGCATCTTGCAATGAACGCGCTGTGGCTTGAGACGCCCACACCTCCAACACTAGCATTGCAACAAAAATAAGCTTCCAACTTGGAGTAGAAGCCATTCTTTCGAGCAGGAGAGTGTTGATATATTTGAATTTTATGATCTGAAGAAAGGTTGTTGTGCATCTCTCCGAGAGACACAGGTATTTATAGAATTCGTTGAGTTCATTCTTCTTCAAAATATCACCTTGTCGCATTTCAAATTCCCTGGAAAACCAGGCAAGTTATGGATGACAGGGAAATTATACCTCAATTCCGTGGACGCTGCTTCATTATATTCAATTATTAAAAGCTTGCTTCTACTAACTTATGTCCTATGAAGTATGAACTCTTTTCTATTATTTTGGATTTTAGTGAACAAATGGTTCGTGCTGGCTTAATTTCAATTGTCTTTTAGGACTTTCCTTTTGTCAGCAGCTGCCACCCTCTTCTCTCAGTTATATTTGTATCAATAAAATCAGTGAGAAAATTGATCACTAAGTTGAGTGACTAACGGGGTTTTGTACCCTTGAGAAATAAGAAACTTTAGTCGTCTCAGTTGCTTAATGCAGTTTCTTACTCATTTCGATAAAATGCTGCACTTAACGAACAGTAGAGAAATTAAGCACCTTCAATTGAGTTAAACCACAACAAATTAGTTCTAAACAGTTGAATAATTCGAAATCAATTGTACTGTAAATGTAAATCTATTTCAAACTATTGGCACCAATAGTGAATGAATCAGGGCTCAGGTCAAGAAAGTCCAAAAGCACAAAGCAACTCCACACGAATTGGACCAAGAAACGCACTCAGAAACCACAAAGGAATCACTCAATAGTCACCAAGAAAACAGCCTAACGGACTGCACAGAGACGACAGTGAGCAGGGGAGAAAACAGCAATCATAGGACAGGGACGGATCTAGAATTAGATCTAAGACCGGGCTACAAAATTTCAAATCGGGCTACTAAGGAAAAAAATATATATATATACATAAAAAACTGATCTTTTACCAAAAAAAAAATCTCTTGGGCCTAAGGGAGCACCCCCCCCCCCCTCAATCCGTCTCTGCACAGGGACGAAACCGATGGCCCAGTCGCTGGCAAAGATGTCGGCAATGGAGGAGGAAGAGAGGGTTGCACGAAGGATCACGTTCATTTTTTTTTGGTAATTATTTGCTATATTTTATTTGTAAGTTGTGTTGTTTTGTTTAAATTTGTATCGAGTTTCCTTAAGTTTTTAGCAAATAATTTATTGATTACGTCACTCAATTAATTATTTACATTTTAATTTAGTTTCTAGATTTTATCATTCATTGCTAGAATGATTTGGTGAATTACTTAAATGGTCGTTTTGAAGATTTGTCTAAATAGGCTTTCAAAACATTACTTTGATGAAAATTGTGTTACCTCTTCAAATATCCACAATCGATTGTGAGTCTGCATTTCCTATTATTGGTTGAATCTTGATTCCCTTATGAATTCGTTGAGTACAAATATAGTTGAGGAAATGATTTGGCCTAAAAATTAGTGGCATATTTACAAGGAGCCTATCGTCAATATTTGAATAAGGTAGAAGTTGGATGATTCACAGAAAGTTATGCAAGATATTATGTATTTGATGTTTGAAATCATTTTCTTTTATTAGCTGTTTTATACCTTTTAACTCTAATTAATTAATAGACTAATATTTATGATTTAACTTATTCGACATATTATTTTTTATTTGATAAACTGTAATTTGTGAATTGAACCAAACTAGAAAAAAAGTGGTTTGGATTGATTTGATTTAAAAATAGAAGTGATCTGATTTTGAAAAATTCAAAGCCGCTTTTTGCCCCCTATTTTCTCAAACCAATTTTGAAACAACTGATTTCCAAGCTGATCCCTATTGAACAATTTATACTAATTACAATCTGTCCTTCCAAATGTGGCGCAAAATTGATTGGTTGTCTTAATTTTGATTAATCATTCGTAAGTTAAATATTTTAATGGAAATCGTGACTAACATAGAAAATAAAAATTATTCTCTTCGTATCCTCCAAGTCCTATTCCTTTCGACCAATCACATGATGAATCCAGCAACTCCTTCTCTAACAATAATTCTACTTCAACAAAGTTGGGTTATAAAAGTGGGTTTACAAAGTGTGTTGGCGGAATTCAAGCCACATATTTCAAATGATTTAAAAATTTGTTTTTGAAATGATTGGTGTAGATCTAACTTTGTCATCCAATTTTGTCAAACTCTTTTGTCACTGTAGCATAACTACTTTTCTAAACCCCCCCCCCTCCCCTCCCCTTTTTTCCTGTACCTTGCTCACGATCCTAATAGCTAATTGCTCATGCTAAAGGCTACAAAGAGGTAGCAAATTATTTAACCATGTTAAAATTTGGGTGTAACCCGATTTTTTCGTTGAAAATAATTGAGAGTTTTAATTAAAATACATATTAAGAAGAACTCTATTTGGAATGCTATTGTGAAATCCTATTCAAAGTCTATTTGGCAAATTTTAGTTGAAATTTTATTTGAAAACACTGTTTGAAATTAGAATTTGTGTTAAACTTGAAGAAATTAAGATATGGACAAAAGAATGAAAAAATACACTTGGAGCATTAAACCTGAGTCCATCGCCCCGGCGCCAGAGAGTCACTTCAATGGCTATGGGTCAGGCGGCCCGATCCACCTATGCGGCATTTTGGTCTTTTACTCCGTTTTTAATGCTGTATTTGCATTATATATCATTTAAAACTCTACTTTTTGGGGTTTGACATGTCCCTATATATAGTTAACTATTCATTGTATTTTAGATCTGGTTAGACAAAGTCATAAACACAAATCTTTGTATTCTTTCTCCATATTATAATAAAATCTTCATTCTTTGCAAATTATTTTGTCCTTGTGATCAATTACTTCATATTATGGTTATAATCTTCAACAAAGTGGTATTGGATTAATATGGTATCATCTTCATTTCACAACAAACTGATATCAAAGTTTTTTAGTTTTGAAATTTTTTTGGTAAGATCAAGATTTTGATCAAATTAATAACTCAACTTTATTTATAGTGATGTCAACAATTAAGTATGATATTCCGTTATTAGATTGAAATACAAAATTATCTTTGCGGCAGGCAAAAATGCGAGCAGAACTTGCTCGGATGGATTTGGATGACTCGTTATTGGGATTTGACAAGATCCTCACAACTTGTACTAAGGAGGAGAAAACGAGGGATCAAAAGGCCCCATCTGAAGTACATCTTCATCTTTCAAATAATATTCTTTCTAGATGTTTTGAAGGAGAAGTTAGTAGCTGTATTGTGGTTAAAATTGGAACAATTATACATGAAGAAATTTTTTTTTAACAAATTGCATCTAAAGCAACATCGGTTTTCTCATCGTATGAAAGAAGGTTCATCTCTTGAGGATCACTTAAGAAAATCGTAGCTAATTTGGAGATCCTGGAGGTCAACTATGACGAAGAAGATTTGTGATGGATTTTATTGTGTTCATTATCCACTTCATATATATCTTTTAGAAATACGATTTTAAATAATCGTGATACTCTCACCATTGAAGAGATATATGGTGTTCTGTATTCAAATGAGAAGATAAAGCATTTTACAGCATCCAAGGATCATGGAGCTGGCCTTATTATTGATGTGGTCGTGCAAAGGGCTAGTCAAAATCTAACTTCAAAATTTGTAATTATTACAAGAAAAATGGACACTTGATAGATGATTGTTATAAGTTGCAGAATCAATTAAAATTGACTGCAACTTAACAATTAGAAATTTTAAGGAAAGCAAGTATTGTTGAAAAACCTAACAGTGATGGAGAGTTTTATACGTATGTTTGACTACAACTCCAAACTGACGAGTCGTGAATTCTTGATACTGCTTTCACTTTTCATATATCTCCCAATCGAAAATTATTCTCAACATATGAAGAAGTTTCAAAAGGTGTTGTGATGACTAGTAATAATATACCTTATCAGATAGCTGTATTGGTCGAGTCAGAATAAAGATATTCGATGGGACGATTATAACACTTGATGCAGTGAGACACATTCCAAGTATGAAGAGAAATCTTATCACCTTAAGTACTCTTGATTTAAAAGGATACATGTATACTATTGAAGGTAAAGTCCTAAAGGTTGGTAAGGAGCCCATGTTTTTATAAAGGGACAAAAAAAAAAAAATCCTATTTATATATCTTGCAGCGTGATATAAAATCTTTGAACAATCAACATATTTTAAGAACTCGAGTGAAATTGAAGATGGATTCTGCACCATTAGAGTCTAATTTGGTGTATTCTCTAAAGAATACATCTAAGTTTAATTTAGAAGTTATGGTTAAATTACCTTATAGACGACATTACTATATTTAATTGCTAGTAATAGACCCATTTTTTATCATAAGACTCCATATAGATACAATTTTGCTGATTTAGTTAATGGTTTGAATGGAATTAAGAGTATTAATTCTAACCAAAATCCTTCTTCTGATGCATTCAGTTGTGATTCTATTATAGAGCTTGTTTCTGTCTTATTTGGTGGTCATTAAATCACTTTTGTCCCAAGTTGGGGTAGTAGATGTGAAGAATATTTTCAGTTGAAAATTTTTAATTGGGAAATTCTTTTGTGCTTTTCATTGAAGATATCAAGTTTATTCCTTATAGTGGAATTTGTTTGCAGGTGGAGAATTCTTTGAAGTTCTGTTCATTGCAACGAAATTCGTGTCAATGAGAAGCTTGTTAGAATTTAGGTGTGACTTGAATTATTTGTTGAAGGTAATTAAAAGTCCTAATTAAAGTGCATATTACGAAAAACTCTATTTGGAATGCTATTGTGGGATCTCATTCGAAGTATATTTGACAAATCCTAGTTGAAGTTCTATTTAGAAGCCGTATTAGGAATTGAAATTTGTGCTGAACTTAAACAGATCGATATATAGACAAAAAAAAAATGTAAAAAAAAGGCATTCGAAGCATTAAACCCGAGACCTGGTGTCGGAGTGCCACTTCTGCACTGCATTTTGGCCTTCTACTCCATTTTTAACGCTATTTTTGTATTCTATTTCATCTAGAACTCTACCCTTTGAGTTCGACATGTGCTTTACATATAGTTAACTCTTCATTATATTTTAGATCAAGTCAAACAAAGTCATAAATACAAATCTTGGTATTCTTTCTCCATATTATAATAAAATATCTATTCTTTGCAAATTATTTTGTTTTTGTGTTCTTATAATCAACTACTTCATATTGTGACTATAATCTTATTTTCTTTAATAAAGTGGTATTGGATTAATCTGATATCATCTTCATTTCACAACAAACCAGAGTACATCCTAGTTAAATCTCCGTTTACTCAATATGCTATAATGAATAATTTGAGGACTAACTTGGTGTTTAGGATGTAAAAAAATCAAGCATTATAGAAATATCAGAACTAGTGAAAATAACTTGCATAACAAGATTCTGAAAAAGAAAGGGCTAAAATGACAGATGTTTTATTTAGTTGGGATGGAAATGGGATGTCACTAAAGAGGTTAATGATATCTTAAGCTAAGTCATAGACTTCTTCCTTTGTAATGATATCCCATAGAATGTCAATTGACTAAAATGAAACAATTATATTTTGTTTGAAGAATGTCTTACTCTAATTTCACGGGTTAAGCCATTAATGGTAGAAGATTGAAAGGAAACATATAATGAAGTGGAAGATTCTATTCGATTCTTTAATATCAAAGACTTAAAACTATGAATTTCCCAGAAGGAATTCATCGTCTTCAAACATATAAACTGAGTCGTGCTTGAACATAAACACGTCCGACTGGTACATATGATGTATTTTCGATTTTTCTAGTTGTTGACGATTTTTACTTTTCTTTCATTCAAAACAAGTCTTAAAAAGGAAAATAACAAAATTTAAAAATAAAATAAAATCTTATGTCATGTTTATTGTACAGTTTAGACATTCATGAATACTACTAGAGAATAATTAAGGTTATATTTGATAAGTTGTGCTTAGAAATTAGGTTTTGTTTATTTCGTTTTGGACAAGGCAAGTTACAATCTATTAATTCCAAAAGAAAACTATAAAATAAATGTGATGAATTACCTTCCAAGAAATATATATATATTTATTCATATATTCCAACAATATACAGCAAAATGAAGTGGTGGTGCACAAGTAGTGCAATCTAAGATGTTAGCTCTGATCTCGTGTCCCAGTTGGCAGGATGAAAACTTCCCACAAGCGTTCGACTAGGATCGTACCAGCACACCTTTGAATCAATAGGGCAAACTCTTAGAACTTGAACTAATTACCAAAGACTTAAGTTTAGAAGAATCCCCTTCACCATTTGCTCGACGTGTAATTGTTTCCATATTTTTATATAGGCTTTGTTTCACAATTGTTTTCATCAATTTCTTCCCTTCATCAACTTCCCTTGGATTTACAGGGGATCCCATAGTTATTCTCCCATCCTGTGGCCCTGAATGAGGCCCCATCTTCATTTGCCTTTCATTTTTAAACCATTGCAATATTTTTAAAGCCCTTTTCTGAGCCAAGGGACTACCCAACAAAGCCACTTCAAGGAGGACTGGCACAATTCCAGCCTTTGCCATTTTCTGCCTTTGGAGGGAGCTTCTATGAGCTAAAATCATCAATACATAAGCAGATAATTCTTGGCATTTTGGCCTCTCTTCCCAAGTCATAATCTCGATTAACCTCTCGGGCACCATTGGATCACTTTCTAGTGCCTTCTCGCCTGCTAAGGTAACTGTCAAGTTTCCCAAGATTGCAAGGGCTTTTTCTGATGTTTCTTCGAGTATAGACAGCTTCAAGAGAAAGTTGACAACCCCACTTGTAGCCAAAGACGTAGCGTTGTCTAGGACTGAGGAAAGATTGTACAATGTTGTCAAACATGAATCTTTTGTCTGAATAGTACTCGAACTTGACTCCAGAATGTGAGTTACAAACGGGATAATTCTTGATGAGGACAGAGAGAATTGGCTGTTGGCGAAGGCTGAAGATATAGACAAGAGGAGCTGAGCAAATTCTTGCATGGTTGGTTCACCTAAGACATCCTTATTTTCTGGTAATTTTGATAAGATTCCTGCCTCCACCATGAGAGTCTTGTTCCTGCAAGAACAACATATGAAACAAGAATGCCATTAGAATAAGAAACAGGCTCCAAATAATTGGATTGATAATTTTAGTCATAATATTATAAACACAACTTTTTCTAATAAAATATTCAAGTGGGGTCGGACATTAACAAGAAAATCATACGTGGGGTTGCCCAAAGAGGAACAAAATTCCTACCACGAAAATAAAAATATTATGCAATAGAGAAGTCAACAAGATTCTCTCTGGATTAGGTCATTTGCCTTTGAAAATCAAGATCAACACTCGTTAATTTTATATTGTAGATAGGTAACCCATTTTTAAACAACTACATGACCAAATCTCAATTGCGTATATTTTATGTCCCTAGACTAGCTTGACTGCAGAATTAAACTATGTCACTCAATCAAAAGCAGGAGACATCCAAATTTTTTTGTCTATTCATACAATATTACCGTCATGTCTAAATTTTTTGACCATCTTCAAAGTAAATACTTTTCGACATAACTGATTAACGAAACATTTTAACCGGAGGTTGTCATTCACTACGGAACGGGACCGGGGTGGTTGACAACTTCACCATGCTTGTGAAGTGTTCGACTAGGCCCAAAGAGTCCACATCCTGGATATGCTAAAGGTAGAAAATGATGTTAGCTCAACTACTTTGACCCTTACATTAAAATTTTATCAATATTTTTGGTCGGGGTGGGGGACTATGGATGCATAAATTAATTAGAATAATAGCAGGATATTGGGCAAATAACCAACCTCATATTTCCTTCTCCACACATGCAAGTCTGTAATGGCCACTAGTCATCCATTATGGTTGATGGCTTTTGTATAATTTGATCAAGTTCCAATAAAAATTTTGTCACCGTCACCTTGTCGTACTAAAATTCCACTAATCTTTAGCTCCATCGGTGTGAAATTGATCAAAGATAATACTACATGTGCACTTTCGATATACATAATAGATTACACCCCTTCACATGAAGGATGACCCACACATAATAAATTAGAATAATACTACTTGTACTTTTTTTATGTACATAATCGTTGATATCCTCTCACATGGAGGAAGGCCTGCGCATGATAAATTATGTGCGGTATGTATATGGAAAATGTACATATAGCACTACCCAGTAAATTATGCGTGCTCCCTCCC